TCTCTCTCTCTCTCTCTCTCTCTCTCTCTCTCTCTCTCTCTCTCTCTCTCTCTCTCTCTCTCTCTCTCTCTCTCCTCTGACCGTGTAAAGGTATTGCCTTGGCGTTGTCACTGGAGTGCTGAAGATGAGGCTGGAGCTATGGTGCCTCAGGTGAGTCATCAGGCAAGTCCCAGTGTCTGGCCTCCACCTGTCTCCTGCTGCAGTCTCCACTACAGCCTCCACACTCGCTACCTCCAACCTACCGCTATTGCGCCCAGCGCTGAAGACTAACACAGCATAACGCTGAGTACTAACTCACGCTAACCTCCCGAGTGAGAGGAAGACCGGTCTATAAATACTACTGGTCTGGCCTCTCCTAGGTCCTACTGGCCTAAACGTGAGGCCCGGAATGAATGGCCTGGGAAACAATCTGGCCGTACACTTGGATCGAATCTGACATCGAAGTGTGGCCTGCGAAGAAAAAAGGAGGCCAGGGCCTGGACCGTTACCGGTACCAGGGCCTGGCCACGCCGAACCTGGTGTGGGCCTAAACGGACCTTTTTCTGGCCTGAACCGACACAGCCCTACTTCAGGCCATAAAACTAATGTGCCAGACCGAAACTAAGTCCCTACCCCTTCCTACCTACCTGACGGTTCCTACTGGGCCCGTGTGGGATCTACATATGCCACACTAATCCACCTTCTGCATCTCCAGGCCAGGCAGGCAACGGGGGACCCGACTGGGAAAACAGGGCAGGTCAAAAGAAGGGCATGCATTCAGAAAAGATACAAAACCTCAGGCCAGGATTGCACGTGCCCTAAGCAGTCAGAATCCATCCTTACTTTCCAATTTGGTGATGGGTCACCCAGGGGGAATTGGGTGGTATAAACAGGGTTTCAAGGGGGGCAGGTGAAAAAAAGCGCATGCATTCAGAAAAGATTATGTTCTCAAGCCAGGATTGCGAGTTCCCTAAGAAGTCACAATCCAGCCTTACCTTTCCAATTTGGTGACAACGCTGATCTAAGGCACGCGCCCTAAGAAGTCAGAATCCAGCCTTACCTTTCCAATTTGATGACAACGCCCATCATGACCGTATGGGGCTCCGAGATATCTCCCTTAGAATGTTCTGCCTCTGTGTCCTGTCCGAGTTATGCTAGTCCCTCCACCTCAACCTCATGTCATGGATGCCTGCCACCTTGCCTCTGGCTAACCAGACACCAGACTCTCTTGAAATTCCCCAACTCTATCTGTTCGATTTTAGGGTTGCTTTGAATTGTACCTCTGACTCTTCACCATTGACACAGGATTTCCACCTCAATCATGCTCTTGGTATCAGTCCAAACTTTGTCATGTGAGTTCTTGGTGTTGTCGAGCGTCCTGCTGCATCTTTCCTTCCATATAGCCCACAGTTTTGCTTTGCATATCAGTACAAACCGCGTCTTCTCTGGTTTGCCAAAATGGGATGGGATGTTAGTCCAGGGAAAGAGCTGGATAGGGTGTTTATGGAAGGCGGAGGAAAATAGATGGTCCCACAGGTCCAAGGCGCTACCCAGTATTCTGTTGCTTCTTTTTCACTTAATTAGACAGTGAATTATATCGTCGTTGGGGACATCCGTTAAAATCGGAACGATACAGAGAAGATTAGCATGGCCCCTGCGCAAGAAAAAAAGGGAACAGCTTCAACAACAACAACAACAAAAA